CTTTATCTTTGTCTTGCGACGCCGAATAACACAGTAGTTTACAAAACCACGCTAACTTATGACCATGCGGTCTACTTTGATTGACAGTTGTCAAACGAACATAATCTTATTGGCTAAAACTGATAACTAAAATTATTATTTAACTAATGATACTAAACGTATGAAATCACTTGCTTACAGCTGCTTGCACAAAGGTTGCAGAACTCCAAAGGCTGTGTTTTCTTTTTCCTGATTTACCTGAATCAAAATAAATCATGGTATTACTCCATTGAAAAATAGCATTTTTCATGAAACCTCAAAATAAATGAGTATGCAAGGTTTCTTGCAGTATAGAGCACAAACACTTATAGTATGAATTAAAGAGAATTGTTTGATGGCAAATTATGGGTCTTTGCAATATTTATCAATGTATGAGAGAAAACATGGAGGTTATATTTTGAAATCAAAAATTGTTAAAATTGGAATGACAGTGCTGCATGTTAAAAATATATGTGAACAACCTTTGATAAGTTGCACAAACCTTACAAATAGTTATTTTTTATTTTATTTGTATACGTTGTAGGTTATCTGTTGCAAGCTCACTATTGCTATTGATCTTGCYTGAAGTTCTACCTTTCTCTTTTCCTTTGCTACTTTGTTCCATCTGCTGATCAATGGGGACACCATCTGAWTCCCTTTTTTTTCTTTCTAGTCCAAGTTCTAGTTTCTCTTTGTTCTTAATTTCTTCTGTCAGTCTCCTTTCATAATCATGTTTTTYAAGGGTGATAAAGGTCCTTCAACTGAAGTCTCTCTCCTACTGATGAGTAGGGAGTGYCCTCTCCTTMAGTCTTATAAGCTCTGCCTTGTTGATGGGCACAGCTGTACCTTGACTTCCCCTCTGCTCTAAGCTCGCTGTTAAACATATATCAACATACAGAGAATTTAAATGTAACAATTAAACTCCTATAAAGGATTGTTTGTGTTAACAATTATCATAAGAATTATGATGTATAATTATGATGTTATTGGAGGGTAACGAATCTGTCACTCACTCACTTTCCTGTAAACTTGAGCGTGCGTTACTTGTGTTCAGAATTATTYATTAGTCTAATTGTTTTCTGGTAAATGAGTCACTAATTTTCCGTTTCCGGTTCCATGTGCTATATTTGATTAAATTTATTTAATTTTTGGCAAATAAAGAAATAAAGGAAATATGTCAACTGATATGGGACTCAAATGGGGACCAAATCATGGGAAATCTAAGTCACTACCACTCAGCTACAAATGCTAATACTACACAATAACGGCTAGACTTTGACCTGGAAGGSTGAATCTTTTTATAATTATAATTTGTTTCATCGTATCATTCCATATTCATCTACAAAGTCAACATTCGAGTAGTGTTGCCATTGGCTGCCTGATTCTTTCTAGTTCTAGGTTCTTTCTTGGTGTAACAATCCCTAATTTTCCTAGATGTATTTTACTAATACTAATTGACTCAAATCACACATTTGAACTATAATACCAGGGCCTAAGTCCTAGACATTTAAGACCTGGCTCCATTTCCTAATACCAGACTTAACTTAACTACATAATCATCAATACATACTCAACTCAAATCAAACATTTGATCTCTACAATACCAAGACTTAAGTCCTAGCAACAGGGCTCCTGATACGTCATATTGATCCCTTAATTAGGACACTAGGACAGTAGGACAGTTAGGACACTTTCAAATACAACAGG